TTTTCCCCCTTTTTCCCTTAAGATCTGTGGTGCTTTTGAAGTGCTCCTTTTAAATTTTGTATAAATATCACATGAGGTCTTTTCTGTGCTGTGTTATCAAGATTAAAAGATATCAACAGATGCTATTCTCTCTGCTTCTAGTTGTTCTCGCACAGTTTTTGTGATTTCTGGCTTTTGACCAGCACCCAAAGAGTGACAAACTGAGGGACTGGTCTGTCACGAGGAAACCTGAGTAATCTCTGTTGTTTTATCACAGTTTGAGTCTTCAGTAAATATTTAAAGAGATCTGCAAAAGATAGGAAGAAAGGGTGGGGTCACGTTCACCCCATTATTGAGCACCATGAAAGAACTATACACAAAATCTTCAGGGATATAAAAATGATCTGTATATTCATTCATGTATATGACCTACATAACATACACAACTGTTCATTACGTACGCTGGAGATCAGATTACAAAAAACGAAACAAAGGTTCAAGGATACGAGTGAAACTTTAGCCAAGAAATTCAATTCCATTTTATTTATATAGAGCCACATCAAAGCAGCAGTCGCCTCAAGGCACTTAAAGAAAAAGGCCATTATGTTTAACAAACACGTCTGTCTGTATATGAGACATATTTTGGAGATAAGTTTTGAAAAAGAAAAAACAGGGTTTGTTATAAATCCCGAAAGGTTTGTTTTCGCCCAGACCTGTGATTCTTCCAGAACGTCATAAATTTAAATATATACTCCAGTGATGACGCACATCTGCTTCAGCCTTTTTCCAGCTTATCTGCACGCACACTCACACTCACAGTCCAGGATTACGCAGGAATCTCTGCTCTGTCACTTTTCCACCATAAATAAAGGAGATGGTCTCCTTGGAACAACTAATGTCTTTATTCACGTTGGACTTTTGACTCCTGCACAGCATTTACAGAACAAGAATAAAAGCTTAGTTCATAAACAACAGTGATTCATGTGATACACATCCTAGCTTGTGTTTAGCCTCCACAGGAGAGTCCACTGTAGCAAGCCGACCACCGCTCCTGCCTTCAGGCCTGAAACTGGTAAAGCTAATGCAACTTGTAGCTCCAGGTTTAGCTAATTAGAGCAGTAAGGGCTTCCTGCAGAACTACTGTTGACCTCTGACCTCCTCACATTCCTAAAGCACGTCGTCCCAGGCCTCATGATTCGGATCCCCGGGAGAAGTCGGAATGAGTTAGGAGACACGCGACTGATCAAACCACAGGCCTGATGGCAAGACAGTGTGAAGCCTGCCAGTGTTTACTGTCTGAGCATGGAATGATGGGTAATGGCTGACGGGTTACTACTGGCAGGAAGTCAGGGCACATTCCCCCAGCGACTGACCAATCAGACGAGAGGTGTCAAGCAGAGTCAATACATGGTCAAAGGTCAGAAAAGCAGGTTTGGCATGGCCAGCTGTCTGTTTGAATCTGCTGTGAGGGAACACAGAG